CAAAACATATTGATCATTTAATAATTGTTGAAAAGCTAAAATGTTTGTTTTCAACTTCCAAATAGATGTCCAATGATTGATAAATAAATGTTTGATTGCTGAATATTGTACCCTAATTGAAGTAGCTGTTTAGTAGGATCATGATTTTGCATACCATTGCATACCTGACACATAATATATTATAATATTTATGATTAAAATTCAAATGATTAAGTAGTTAGAAACTAGTTGCTGTGAATTCAGGTGCCATCAGTTGTCTTCATATGAATGACTTGTAGGCCCTTCCTTACCAAACACCAAGTAACTAAATTAGGATACAATTATGAGTCATTCGCAAACTGTTAAACATTAAACTGTTGGTTACTTTAAAACTAACCTTCATCTGGGAAATCACAGGGATATGTGAATATTTGATCTGTTAACTGGTTGCATACGTCAGATTCATTGCATGACTCAGGCAGAGAAAAGCTGTTGCTATCAAACATTGTTCACAAACATTAGTGTATTGGTGAAGAGATAGATCAAATAGGCCAATTGATGGAAGGTTTGTGAAGAAATTTCATGCTCCCTTGTAAAAGTATTTTTTAGTATTTTTAAAATACAAAAATACAGTAGTTTATTTTGATACATGGTGTGGCTGCTGTATTTTGTAGTTTATTTTGATACACTTAAAATGAAGGTATTTGGTATTTTATTTTAAAATAAATTTTGATGTATCTTTGCCCAACCCTGTGTGTGAGCATGCTTAGTGTGTATTATGTAATACAGTGTGTATTAAGTAATATAGTTTAACCCTTTCATTACTCTGTGCGTGTGATCGTATTCTCCATCGTGGATGCGTTCTGGTGTCAGCCATACATTTCATGTTGGCCCAGACCCTAACAGCATACAACCCATAAAGTCCTTAAAATGCTTGAACCCTGTTAATTGCTGCTTGCAGCTATACTTATTTGTATTATTTCTGAGTCATAGTTGTGAAATAAAAAAAAAATATTTTTAATTTTTTTTTCCCCATTGGAAACAACTTCAAACCAGGATATCATCACATTAAAATATCAAGCGTTACACTATTTTCCCACGAAAAAAATAGAGCATGACGGAAAATGTACAGCTCATTCCCTCAAACTGATGGTATTATCTGTTAACTGATAAGGATTATCCTTATGATTTGATATGATTTGTTTCAATTATTTTGAGTGGTAGTTCCCAAAACTAGAAGTGGCACCCAAATTTTAAAAATGCAGTAGGTATTTTTTGGAAAAATAGGATATTCAAGTGGAATACTAATGTTTGGGGCCAGGTACGGAGACCAAAATGTGGGACAGTCACACAAATTGGTAGCATTGTTTAAGCATCCTGCAATTCATAAGCTGTGTCCCACATTTTAGTTTGTCTATATTATTTTTAATGACTAGCCTTTTATGTTCAGTTCATTAGAGAATCAAGTATTCCAGAGCGCCATGGGTTGTTCTGGCCAATTTCCTTGTCTGAAACAGAACATGCAGTTAAAAAAAATTGCTAGAGGAATGACTGGCCTCCCTTGAATTACCATTTGACAGATTCCAGTTTTTGTTGACACATGCCCACAGACAGATAAAGTTTTACACCGGATGACATTAAAATGACTTTTTATTGTCTTTTGGAATTCTGTTCCATAGTGAAACATATGAAACATTTATAAAATCAGCATTAAAAAATAAGTTCTAAACAGACTTAAGCTGCTTTACAATATATTTAATTGACCCCAGAAAAAAGTTTATCTGTCAAAAAAACAGTACAACTCTTTCCCACCATGCAGCTAATGAGTCCATTTCTGGGAAAGTTGGAAACCACTGCCCACCCCTTCAACAAACATCTAAAAAAATAACAGTTTTTTTTAACCAAACCAGAGCTGTGAATAGAAAAATCCCAGCACCACAACTGTGGTATTTTTTTCTTTCTTTTAGTATTTAGCATTAAATTCCAATGACTAGAGAACGAAAACGTGCGTTATCTACTGTATTCTTAAATACAAATGTTTTGAATTTTTTTTTTTTATAAACAATTCTGAAATTTTTACACAACATTAATTTCATACATATAATCATTATTGCTTGGTCTTTTTATTTAACCGCACTGCAAAGAAAAACCACAAGCTTCTAAACAGACTTACTAATCAGACTTCCTACTTGTTTACAAACAGTAACTAAGAAGAGGACTGTAAAATACTGTAAAATTGCACACCATACCAGTACTGGTAAATGAAGCGCACTAAACATTTTTATAAATGGCTACCCAAATATATACATTGTAGTTCACTTGATTTGTAAGTGATTAATAAATTGTCTTTTAAAGCACTGTACTTTACTGTAAAAAAAAACAACAAAAAAACAAAAAAAAACATTTCTGACAGATATCTGAAAATTTGAAAGACTTCAAAGATTTCTGGCTGTTCTCATATATTTGCACTTTACGAAAATAGCTTTGAGCTGATTTGCATGAACTGCACAGGAATGGCCTCAGGGATACCAGAACTTGTGCATATTTTCTGCAAACAACAGTCTTTACAGAGCACACACTGAATGCATACGTACAGTAACATATAATCTATAGGCAAGGAAAAAAGAAAGGAAAAGAAAGTCATGTATAGTGCACTACACAAACGGAGAAGTACGCACAAGGACATTAAAAACCAGTTTTTCAAGCATTAATTTGCATATTCTCTGTAGCATAACATGTTGACAACATGAAACTCTAATGATTTGCATGCATGAGCTCTGAAGACTTGATTGACAGTATAGTTTTCTAAACCCTCTAACACTTTTACGACTGTACAAGTACTGTATGAGTGTTTCGTTGTTACTTGATACTTTGTGTTGTCACAACCTTTCTCTCTTGGACAACGACTTTATGTGATGATGGATTTTGGCTTATCTGGACAGATGTCCCACCCAATCCGACGCTACCAAATGACCCTGCGGTGGCCGCCATGCCCTTTTGAAGACCCCTCTGGCCCACACCTGATCCCCCTTTGCTCTCCACATAAAGGACATTTTGAGATCCACCATGAGTGGAAACACCTTTTTTGAGGGACCCCTGAATCAATTGACCCCCTTGTCCTTCCACAACCATCAGGCCCTGAGATCCAGCAACCCCTCTCTGAAGCGTCCCCTGAAGGACTTGACCCCCCTGAAGGACATGACCGCTCGTGGCTCCCCCATCCACCAGGAGCACTTGTGATCCAGACAGATTACCTGTGTGCATCATCCCAGCCTGAGCTGGTGCACCTCTGTCCACAAGCACCATTCTCTCACCGCGGGTCAGGGTATTCGTTGCTATGTTGCCGCCCTGGACTACAACCCCCTCGGCTACAGGGCCGCTGTTCAGCACGTACATGCTCTGTCCCATGGTGGGCCTTTCAGTGAGCAGTACCGTGCTGGGCTGTGGCTCGACCATGTAGTACATTGGCTGCGGTTGCATCAGGACTGTTGGAGCTGGTTGTACGCTCGTAATCATTGTGGGCCGGTTGTCTGTGACAAGGAAGTTCTCCACACGAGTAGATGATGTCGTAGACGTGTTGGAAGCTATATTCAATGCGTTTGAAGATATAGCTCTGTTAGTGGCAATATTTCCAGAATTTATAACATTGGTTGATGAAGACACCTCGGTATGGTCCACGATGGGTTTGGGAGGAAGAGGAGCTGGGACCTCAGTCTTTTTACCGCCACATATTTCAGCGAGAGTAGTGAACTTGGGCCCGAGGTCATTGAGAAACTCTAGGTCATTGTTATCTTCGAGGATGCTGCAGCAGCCCACACACACACAGGCATGTGATCCACATACAATACAACAATATAATAATAGTACGATAATGATAGAGTGATAGATTGAACAATGAAATGATAGATAGAATGATGTGATGAAATTATAGAACAATAGATAGATTGAAAAATAAAACAGTAGATAGATAGATAGATAGATAGATAAAACAGAATGATAAAGCAATAGAACAATAAAATGATAGATCACTAGAACAACAGATATAACAAAAAATGATAGAATGACAAAATGACAGAACATTAGATAGAACTATAGATAGAATGATACATGTTAGAACAACTGGCAGATAGAACAATAAATACAACAAAAAAACCCAGAATGATAAAACGATTGAACGATAACAAGACAGAACATTATAAAGATAGAACAACAGATAGAATGATAAATGATATAACGACAGATAGACCTAATGATAATAATATAACGATAGATAGAATGAATGATAGAACGATAACCAGACAGAATATTATATAGATACAGTGCTGCTTGAAAGTTTGTGAACCCTTTAGAATTTTCTATATTTCTGCAGAAATATGACCCAAAACATAATTAGATTTTCACACAAATCCTTAAAGTAGACAAAGAGATTCCAATCAAACAAAGAAGACAAAAATATATACTTTGTCATTTATTTATTGAGAAAAATGATCTGGTGTTAAATATTTGTGAGTGGCAAAAGTATGTGAATCTTTGCTTTCAGTATCTGGTCTGACCCCTTTTTGCAGCAATAACTGCAGGTAATGTTTCTTGTAACTGCTGATCAGTCCTGCACAACATCTTGAAGGAGTTTTAGCCCATTCCTCAGTACAGAACGACTTCAACTCTGTGATGTTGGTGGGTTTCCTCCTATGAACTACTCGCTTCATCTCCTTCCACAAAATTTCAATTGGATTAAGGTCCGGACTTTGACTTGACCATTACGAAACATTCGCTTTGTTTTTCTTTAACCATTCTTTGGTAGAACAACTTTTGTGCTTGGGGTCATTGTCTTGCTGCATGACCCACTTTCTCTTGAGATTCAGTTCTCGGACAGATGTCCTGACATTTTCCTTCAGAATTTGCTGGTATAATTCAGAATTCATTGTTCCATCAATGATGGTAAGCCGTCCTGGACCAGATGCAGCAAAACAGGCCCAAACCATGATACTACCACCACCATGTTTCACAGATGGGATAAGGTTCTTATGCTGGAATGCAGTGTTTTCTTTCTCCAAACAACTCTGCTCATTTAAACAAAAAATTATATTTTGGTCTCATCCATCCACAAAACAATTCTCCAGTATTCCTCTGTCTTGTCCACATGATCTTTAGCAAACTGCAGATGGGCAGTAATGTTCTTTTTGGAGAGCAGTGGCTTTCTTCTTGCAACTCTGCCATGCACACCATGGTTGTTCAGTGTTCTCCTGATGGTGGACTCATGAACATTAACATCAGCCAATGTGAGAAAGGCCTTTAGTTGCTTAGAAGTTACCCTGGGTTCCTTTGC